TAGCCAATTCAACTGTAAATTGGTGAGACCTTGCTCAGATATCATAGCAAAAAGGTCATCAAAACAGTTACCATGAAAGTATTTATAGAAAAGGTACAGGGAAGCTGTGTTATGGCATTGGGAAAGTGACCGAAACTTAGATGCCAGGTCAGGATCAATATTATTGCCGATTCTTTTAATTTTTATCAAGAATCTCTAAATATACAACAGGAGCATTGGCCCACTTAGAATCAGAAAGAGACAGTTGAAATTTCTGTAACACATAATGAAATACAGGAGCTTGGAGAATTTAACACTCACAGGTCTTATTAAGGCCAAGAGGGACATGAGAAAAAAAAGCAAGTAAACATTCTTCTAACAAGTCTGCATAAATGAATGGAAGAAAAGAGAGTTTGGGAGGGAGAGTGAGGAAACAATCATTGCTAAGAGCTAAAACAGATAGAAAGTTGTGAATGGACATGGTACATAAAAGAATTTAATGTGGTTATCTAAAAAATATTTTGTGTTTATAAAAGCTAATGATGGATCTGACCAGAAAAAGATAGCATAATAATTGTAAGCATTTATTGTAAATGTATTGGTTGCATAATATGAATAAAGAATGTGGTGAAACAGTATCATGAGAAAATGGAATTGACACACAGGAAATTTTGGCAGAGGATGATGCATACACTACTGCCTTTGGGAAAGATCTGAATCTATCCCTTCCACAAGTACAGATAAAATTGTTGACCTTTTTAGCTTTCATTGGTAACCAACTTCTGAGAATGACAACTATGAAGTCAAAACTGTATCAAAAGCTTTGTCATCTTTCCTAAAAGAGTCATGGTAATACACAATTTCCAAATATTAAAGAAAAGGAAGTTGTTGAGAGCCATGATCGCCTACATTCTGAAAGTATATAGCAATTCTGGAGGTTATATATGTATGGATTACACTATCTGATATTGGCCAGCTATTCGTTTCTGAACTCACCCGTCTCCCAGGCTGGCTTGTCAATCCCTGTTGCAGATGTTTGCTCCAACATATTTCTGGTTGTCAAACACCAACAGAGCTTGTTTATACTGCAACTACACTGAGTGGACCTTAATGTTTCTAGAAAAGAGCGCATTATCTGGTATTATCAACTACTGAAACAAGGCTAGTAGACTCAAACACTCAGTCACTTTCAAAAAGGTGCTACACACTGGGATCACCTCCCCAGTCCAATAGCATTAAGAAGTCACCTTCCAGACAAATGAAGCAAGAGATTAAAACCTGGATCTCATGGTTAGAAAGCCAATGTTCTAACCAGATACTCTATGTAATATCCTAATTACAAATGGATTACATTATCAAAACAGTTGCCATATTTGACAGATAAGATTCACTTTTTTTTCCTCAAAAATTAAAAATTTTAGCCCCAACACTCACTCACTTTCTCAGATAGTCCACTTCTGACTACAATTATATTTACACAACCAACATTATCATGACGACTTCTACTACCGATACTGTAAAAAGGATCATCACAAGTACTAGTGATATTTGTTGGTACCAATTGATCTATTATATCTGAATATATCTCAGCACACTCTTATAATTAACCAGCTACAGGCCACAGATGTGAGGAACATTTTATGCCCCTTGCCAGATTGTTACACAACACATTTCTTACCCTTTGACATGTGCATAAATTATGGCAGAGTCAAGGGCAGACAACCAAATTAAGTAATGCTATGTAACTGCTATGGTTGAAATGCATTTATAATATTTTGTAAGATACCGAGAGCTATTTACATTGTTAAAACTATTGCCCTCATCTTTATTCCAAACCTTTTATTTAGTCTACAGGAGTAGATCATTTTAATTCTACATGCCATGCCCTTTATCTCCATACCAGTTAAATCTTTTTAGTAACTCAAATCTTCAAGTTTTTGTTTTCTCTGCTGTAGCCAGGTATTGAACTCATAAATCCTAAGGTCAAGTCACTTTTTGGATTACTTAAACTAACGCTTGTGGCCTTGGGACATATATCTCCTGAAGAAGGCTAGAACCTATAACTGCCGAAATGTTGCGAATATGGCAATAAAGATGAGGACAACAGTCTGAACATGTAAATAGTTACAATATCTCATCTGAGAAATACATGAAAAACTTTTTTTTTCTGACTATGCCCTGCTAAAACAGAGTTTCATCTAGGCATCCATGAACATATTTAATGACATCAAATACACTGCTTCGTAAAGTCAAAGAAAGATTAAGGATTTAATTTTTTTTTTTTTTTTTAGATCATCTGCACCTATGACAACCAAAAGTTTCTAACTTTTTAGAATGTCATTATTCAAAGAATGATATTCCAGAGCTATGTCTTTTATAAAAACCTAGCCATTTAAATCCGACATCAAATGCTTTACACTGAAATGAAAAAAAGCTGGCAACATATTCAGGGAATAGGCGATCATGGCTTTCCACAACTTCTTATCATTTGTCATTTTTAGTAAGGTCTTTTTTTTTTTTCAAGTCCGTTTTACCATCCATTTACACAAGCTACTTGCTGCTTTCCTCTGTTCTTATTGCCTTCAATATGTGCAAAAGAGGGCTTTGAGAATTTGGCACTCACAGGACATAAAGGCAAGAGAGACAGAAAAAAACAAGCAAGTAACCAATATAATGAGCTCTTGCTGTTAATTATTATTATTATTTTTTTTTTTTTTTTTTTAAGTATCTTGGATCTGCCCAAGATCATTTGTGAATATCTATGCTGATGATACAATGATATATGGGTGCACCTCCAAAACTTGTGATAATCAAAAGAGAATGGCAGCTGATTTCTCCTCTGATCAAGCTCTAACAGCTCAGTGGGGAAAAAACTGGCTGTTTACATTCAATACCTCAAAAACCAAACTAGTTTACATTCCATCATTGTTGATCAGACTCTGAACTACTGCCAATTATGATGAATGGATGTCCCCTCAGGGAGGCCCCATGCCTTGAGAGAAAATAGGGTGTTAAACTCACACCAGAACTCAAGTGAAACTTGTACATATGATCTATCACAAAAGATGCAGGAAAAATAGTTGGTTAAAAGAACCAGATCAGGCCTAAAATGGAGTACTGTTGTCATGTTTGAATGCCATGCCACTTAAATTGTGTAGCAAACCCCACCCACATTCCTTCAGTATTTCATCAGCGAGAAGTCAGTTCAACTTGAACAACTTCTTTCCATGAACCACTGCTCTGTGGAACTGACTCCCAATAAGATGTCTCCCCTGATCACTACAATCTTAACCTGTTTAAGTCTAGGGTTAACCATTATCTTCCCCTCCTAGCCGCTTAAACTACATCTTACTCTGTAACCCTCTACCCAGAGTGGCCCGCGGGCCTTATAAAGTGTGAACCTCACTGTAAATGAAAAAAAAAATCTTGCCAATACATCAAAATTTTTAAGTGATACCTTTTGTTTGATCATATTGACCAACCGAAAAAAATTGTTCCAGTTGCCTGAATTATTGCAAGAATAAAAAAATAAAATAATCAAGAATCAAGAAGAGTTAAGAAGAGTAAGACCAACTTAATTTTCGTATAAGTAAAGAAAAAGCAAAATGTATTTTTCTTGTAACATTATTTTCGGTTTCCTTGCCTTAATAAAAAAAAATACAATGAAATTTAAATTCAAACTTTAAAACTTTATATTTGAAAAAAAATTCATTGTTAATACTACAAGCTACATTATAGTTCGATCAAGCTTTAGATGAAAAAAAAAATAGTTGTCAGACTGAGAAATAACCATACTACTAACTAAGTAACTAAGTTAAAATTAATTTAGCAAGGTATATTCAGCTACTACTGACTCACAAGTATTTTTATTCTAAACTAAAAAAAAAAAAAAAAAAAAAAAAAAAAAAAGAGTACGGACGTTGTTCTTTACGTACTGAAAAAAAAAAAAAAAAAAAAATTATTTCTGGTTTTAAAAATATAATTAACAATTTTGATGGAAAAAAATTCTATTTCTTACTACAGCAACACGTTGTGTGTGTGTTTTTTTATGAAACATTGTATTTTCAATTAACTCGAGCTAGAATGAAAAAAAAAAAAAAAAAAAAAATTTCAAATTCAATGAAAGACATTTATTTTCCCCAAATAATTTAAAGCTTTTTATTTTTTTTAATTCTCAAAGATTATTATTTAGAAAAGGAATGCAACTTAACTTCAAATTTACCTTCTTTTCTAAAAGAAGAAACTAAAAGTAAACAGAAACTTAAACAGACAGTACATTTGAAATGTTGACATAGCAAATAATAACCTAGTCATAAACACTAAGTTATGCTTTCGTTACAGAGCAGAAATATATTAAAGAGAATTTTAAAAATAGTTAAAGGAATTAAAATAAAACTATTATTCTTTCTAAATTTAACAGGGCGCATGAACAACGTTTATTTTTTTTCCATTCCTTGTCCGACTTCGTTTTTAATTTTAAAACAAAAAAAGTGTACATGGTGGATTTTGTAAGGTAAGAAACTTTAGAAACAAACATAAGGTGACAAGTTTCAAACATTTCTTTACTAAAGTAACGAATACTTAAAGTTTTTTGTGTGTGGCTGGAAGTAAAAATTCATTGTTGCGAGTGTCACCTACCAGGCAGAGAAGAGAAAAAAACGTTTCTAAGTCTGAATGTTTTTTTTTTTATTATTCGGTGTTACGTCCGCAAATGCCGATCAATGATGCGTTAAACACTTAAGAAATGTCGAACAAGTGTCGTAAAAAAAACAAAAAAAAAAAAAAACTAACGAATTAAAAAAAAAAAAGAAAAAAAAAGAAAGGTGATTTTATTTTTATGAAAGTTTAATGAAGAAACGAATTCAAGCTTTGTTGCGAGCAGAGATTTAGATTTTTTACGATTAATTATTAACAACAATAACATTCAACAATATTGACTTGAGTTAAAAAATAAAAATCAGTTAAAAGCAAAATAATAAATTAATAAACTAAAACCAAATAATATCAGGTTAAATACTTACTCATAGTTTAGTTAGAAATTGGTATAAATTGTGCTTGAAATTTTTTCCTACATAAACTTTTTTTTCCGTCGGCTAGTTTGGACCTGCCGGCATCAAGATGACAAGTTATTTTGTGGTCAATAAAGGAGAGAGAACAAACTATAAAAAAAAAAATGTTTCCGCACTGACAGTTAGACGTTTAAGCTGCTGCTGATAGCCATGTTTCCGGTATTTATCGCCCTCCCCACTGTGGCAGGATGTGACACAAGGTCGGGTGAACACAGGGTGCCCGTTGGCATACATATGGACCAAGGACAAAAACTGTCCAGTCTTAGTGTCACACCTTCTTTATTGCAAAGAAGTAGATGCCCCTGCACTATTAGGCTGTTTTCATTGTTTAAAAAGTAGCAGAACACATACTACACTTCGATCCCAGTAGGCAGGCTATGAAAAAAAAAAAAAAAACATGTAGATATTTATCCCCCTTCTCCAACTCTGGTAGGTTATGACACAAAGTCGTTTTTAAATGTTGAGTGTCATATATAAAGACACGCCCACCAGAGTGTTTGGGATGGGTCTTTTAAATCATGAGGGAGGGGCGAGTAAGGATTTGTACACTAAACTTAATTCACATAATTTTCGTGGCAGAGTACAAATGATGTACTGTGGGAGGGTGGGCAGGCTTCACCTTTATTTACAAGGCCTGCATAGAAGCCAAGTACAAAAAATTACCCACTCCATGCAACCACACCCCCTCTTTAGTGCAGTGAGTTGTTGCCATAGAGTTGGAATCCCCTAGGACCAGGTTGTCCTCATAGCTTAAAGTGGAAGAGAACAGATACTACATTTTGATCCCAATCTGATGACTGGGAATAGGAGGAAATTTATCCTCCCTGCTATGGTGATATGATGTGATACAAGGTCAGTTTAATGTGGGTTGTATATCTACCAAAGATAAAAATTGTTTAGTCCCCATATCCACTGTCAAGCTGGTGTGGCTATCCACCAACTCACTCTATTTAGTAGTGCAATGATGGAGGTGATGCCACTGGCTTAGGCCAGCAAAAAAGTTGTTTTTGAAACTCTATGCTTTCTCTTCTAAATTATTTCTTGGCATTCAAATATTTCTCTTATTCCTTTTTCATGTAACACCTTATTTTATGGATCACCCTATTCAATGATTTTTGTTTACATTTTTGTCATTTATCATTCAAAAGTAAAATTTTACTTGCTATATTTATTGAGGAAGAGTGCTAATGTTGAGTATAAAGCATTTGTAGATATCGACACTGTGGGTCAACACTGCATCAGTTTCATGCTTCAAGAAATGTTTTGATGTTCACTTGAGATGTGTAAAACTGACAGTCACAATGCAGTATTAATTATCTATCTTATCTGATTTGGAAAGAGTTGGATGAGTACAATGGTGATTATGAAGGTTTTTGGAGTGATCACTAGTGATTGTGACATTATGCCTCCAGTCATCTTCCCACAGAGCATCAGACTCAACATGGAGGCCTACAGCAAGTGTCTTGAGGAGGTAGTGCTGCCCTGGGTGGCTGCTGGAAAACCGTATATCTCACAACAGGACTCTGCACCATGTCAGACAAGAAGGAGAACCAAGTCATGGCTGTGAGACAATGTCTGCAACCATATAAATTACATCTGGCCACTTAACTCCCCAGCCTGCAACCCCCTTGATTATTATGTGTGAGGTGCAGTTGAGCAAAAGATGAACAAAACTCATTGTAACACTAGAGATGAACTGATGTCAAGGATTATGGCAGCATTCACCAGCAAGGTGACCATTCAGAAGAGTTGCAGGAGATTCTGAAGTTGTTTGGAATCCATGGTTGACGCCAATTGCAATTTTATTGAATGCATTTACTCGTTAGTATTTCAGGATATTTTTGTATAAGTTTGGTAAATATATCTGTTAAATTGTGATGTCAGTGTTATTTACATTTTGCCTAATTTAGACAAGTATTTATCCATCGCACACTGCATACAGCTAGAGGCAACCGGATGTCTAGTCACACTGATGAGCTGTAAACAGCGAAACAGTCTGTCTGTGGATGACGTTATATCTGCTCCTGAAATTAATTTCAGTTGAGCACTCTGGGGGGGGGGAGGTGTGGGTTGGTAAACAGTGATTATTATAGCTATATAGCGAGACTCTTCACGAAAGCGAATTGAGTCACTGTCAGTCACTGGGCATGTTTCTAAAAATAAATATGCTAAAAATCCACCGTCATCCCTACCATGCCGACGGCTTAGTGGTTAGAAGCTCCGACTGACACCAATTCAGTCGGGTTTCGATCCTAGCTAGAGGCAACCGGATGTCTAGCCACACTGATGAGCTGTAAACAGCGAAACAGTCTGTCTGTGGATGACGTTATATATATATATATATATATTGTAGTAAGTGCAAAATATTAATAACTCCTTTCATCCACTCCCTTCAAATTGGGAGGACTGAGAAATAAGAAAGAAAGAAAACAATCCTACGTGAAATTGTTTTGCACCAATGATAACCTTTCCTTCACAGATATTAACTAGTGAGCTGAGAAAAAGAAGGAAAAAATTCCCAAACATGTGAAATTTTCTTTAAAGAGAAAAATTAAATTAACGAGAAGAGTGTCTGAAGTTATGTGAAAGATTTTGTTTCAGTTCCTTGCAACCAACATGGAAGTACTTGCCAATGTAAAATTATTCACCAATTGAAGAAGCAACACGAAAACCGTAGCAGTCATTTCACTGTTTTTATTCAACGACTGTGCAACGCGACCCAAGTGCTCTCGGGAGGTCGGAGGTGGGTGACTCCAAAATAAATAAACAACAAAACAAGGGGTGCAACTCATCAGTGATTACTGATGATACATAACTAACATGTAGAACTTCAAAGTATTTTCTCTCAACAATCAAAGAAAGCTAAGTATATCAAACTCTCTTCATTTACTTTCGAAAGTACGCAACCAAATATCCCTTAACTAAGTGACAAACTCTCTTACCTTTCTTTTAAACATTTTTGAATATCATTTTGTGTCAGATCATTTTTAAAGCTGTTACGAACTTTTCCTCTTCATGACAATTCGTTAAACTACAGACTTTAAGAATTTTTATTCATTTTCTTGAAGTGAGCCACTGACACTACTTCAAATCAAACATGTGAATAAATTCCTTATCTTGTTGTCAAAATTACTCGTGTGTTTCCTCGTCATTATCATCCTTCTTCATTAATCTTCTTGGCGTGGGTAAATCAACTGTTCATGATTCATCACCCCTATGCCCCTATTGATTATAAAGATTATCATTATGAACAGCGTAGACATGCAACAAAATACCAAAGCAAAGGCGGTAAAAATTTTACATTTTCGCAAATGGAAGGGAGACAACTTATAGACGAACAGTTTGGGATGTCCACTTTTTCGCTAAAAAAACGCATACCCTCATGAAAAAAAAAAAGCCCCAAACTTGATTAAAAGAATTTTGTATTGTCTAAATGTTTATGTCATTATTAAGAGGAAAGACCAAAGTATTTTTTTAAAATTTTTAATCCTTTCTAGCATGTCGAAAATTTTAGCTAAAAATCTTGTTTTTTTTTCAGTCATAAAAATTGACGCAAAATCAATCATTATTGACAGTTTTTAAACAAAAGTAAAATTTCCCATTTAAAAATCTTGTAAAATTCAATTATACTTTTTAAAAAAGTTATTTTAGGAAAGTTAGAAAATTTAAAGTATACTTAATGTAATTTGAAAGAAACATTACTTTAGTTTATCAGAAAATTTTTTAAAAAGACATTTCCAACCGTGGTGCTTGTTTTTTTTGGGGGGCCTGATTGAGAGGTGTTACAGTTAACTAATGGACGTCAATCTGTCAACAACTTACGTCAGGGGAATTTATCGGACGGTAGGGCAAAAGTGATATAAATCGTTCTAGCGTTCTAGTTTTAAGTGAACCTGGTTAACTTTCATTTTTTTACCTTACGTTTGAGGGAGAATTCTAGAATAAAAATAACATTTAAATTTAAATTACGTAAAAGAAAAAATACATTTAAAATTCAAATTTTATAAGACAAAAATTTTGGAACAATATTGCTATCTACACATAAAATGTTATGTTTATTTTTTTAAAAATTAAGTTTTATCTCAGCACAGCTGTTTGAGGGTTCCTATATGTAGTGAAAGAGATAATCAGCTACCTCAAAAAAGAGTTCGTATTTTGTGTGCGATCTGCCGAAGGAAAATTACCAAAAAGTAGTTAGCAAAAATCTACTTTAAGGACTAGAATCTATGCTAATGTTCTTCCCTCCCCTGAATGGCGTGACCAATCAGAAAGATCTCTTCCCGTTGTTTTTCGCTTATGCGGAATTTTAGGGTGAACGAACACGCGTTTTTGCTGGTGAGAAGTGATGGTTGGATGTGTGACCCCATTTTATTGTTTCTACGTTGCCTGTTACGACGGACTACCCTTTGAACTGTGATTTGGCTACAAGTGTTGCGGTCGAGAGACAGAAGAAATCTATTGCAGACGTTTGTTGCTGCTAAGTTGACTGTTTTTTTCTTCTTTTTCTTTTCTTTACAACTACACTAGCCACCATTATACTTAAATAAAGTCTATTCAGGTTTGCTATAATAAAAAATTGTTTTGTTTTTTTAACACCTACTGACTCGGGTGATGACAACAATACTTTTTTTTTTCGTCGCATGTCTTTCATATGACAAAAACAAGCCTTTCAAACAGCTTTAATTTTAGTTATGAAATATTTTTGAGAATTTTGCCCAAAGACCTCTTTTTGTTGTTTCCGTCCCTAAATTTGAATTAAAAAAATTATTTGCAGTATCTTTCACTGAAAAAGAAATTGATTATATGTAAAAAAAACAAAATTAGAAGAAAAGTTTTGACAATGCGACAATAATGAGAATTTGACACGGGCGTCCAGAACGAAAAGCTATGCCAAGATTGATAATTTCACTCAATCAGGGGGAATAACTCTAGCATGATTTTTTTTTTCAGAAATGA